TGCGAATTGATGTAATTTTCAATATTGGTGGTTCCAGTAATGCAATTTCCTTCCAAGTTGAGATATTTCAACTTGGATGTCATGATCTTTTGTAAGACATCTCTCAACTCGCCTTCAATATTATTGTAACACAAATTCAAGTGAACTAATCTCGAAACTGAACTCATATCAGGAATGGATTGCATTTCATTGTGACCCAAGTAAATCACTTGTAGTGTTTCCTTGAAAATCTCCACTAGGGCTGTTGGGAATTGCTTCACTCGATTACCACAAGATATGAATTGTGAGAGTCTTGGAATGATTGGTTTCTCGTCATACATTAGGTTGGAGTCAAATGTTCCAAAAATGTTCAATTCCTCAATTTGGTTATATCCCACATTTAATCTTTGCATTGAGAATAGGCATGACTCTGAGATCCAATTCTCTGGTAGTTTTTTAATCAAATTTCTAGAGAGGGTCAATTTTGCTAACCGACGTAATTTACTCCACTCAGATGCTTCCAGAGGAACTTGTTCAATGGCATTATTGTTAATTTCGAGTGTTTCCAAACTTTCCAATTCCAAGAGTTCGGTTGGGAATCGTGTGAGTTTGTTGAAGGCCAAGTTGAGTTCTCTGAGTACGCTCAATTTGGCAAAGGAAGATGGGATGTCAGCAATTTGGTTTGATTCTGCAATAATAGTGTGTAAATGATTCAAATCTCCCATGCTTTCTGGGAAAGCTGTCAAGTTATTGAATGAAACGAACAATTCCTTCAAATTGCCAAAAATATTACCATTGAACAGAGTGGAAGGGAGTTGTGAAATATTATTGGAATGCAACACTAGAGTTGACAATTTTAACAATTCCAATCTATTCAAGTCTTCATCATTGAATGTTTCAAACCCATCCAAATTATTATTGTACATTTCCAAAGTAAGCATTGTCTTGGCATGAATAAATAATTCTTTTGGAATTAGTCCTTCAATTTGGCATTCGTATAATTTCAAAATCTCAATCTTTGGTTGATAACAAACCCATTTAGGGAATGTTTTCAGCATGATGTTATTATGCAAGTATATATTCTTCAAATTTGGAAAGATGGCACATTCTCCCTTTGGTAAATTCAAATGTTCAAACATATTTCCAGAGAGTGCTAATTTCTTCAAATCTGATTCTCCATTTTGTGATAATTTTCCAATAAACCAATCTTCATTCAAACTTGTCAAATTATTAATCGAAAAATCTAAATCCTGCAATTTATGTGCCTTGTCAAGTGTTGTTAACAAGTCAATATTCGGCATTTCACCTCTCAAATCACTATTAAATATTGTAACTTCACACAATTGTCTATTTCCAACTCCAAAACCTTTCAAATATTTCGGAATGATGTAATTTATCATATCCAAAACAACACTCTTCCACTCCTTCTCACCCTTCTGTCCAACTTTTCCATCAAACAACTTTTCAAAGCTCGAAACAACTTGTCGGGAAACTTCAACTTTTTTCCACTTTTCCAAATCGGTAAAATTCTTAATAATCCATCCACAAATTTTATCTTCCATCTCGGGATTCAACTTGATTTGATGTTTTCCCTCCAGAATTTCCTTCAAATTCCTTACAATACTAGTACTCTCTTGTTGTGGAGTTGCTGAGGAAGTATTTGAATTTTGTTGCAAATTTTGCTCATCGAAATTTATCATTCCGTAATGTGAGAAAATTCCGTGGAAAGTTTGTAGATGGGAGGTTGCGTGTTTCTTTGCTTGTTTGTTGCCCATTTTTTTTTTAAATACGAATTGTTGGTTGACAGTTTGCAATTTTTTGTTAACCACACAACGGCTCTTTCGGTTGTTTGTGTGTTAAATGTCAGTAAATGACAGTAGACGAAAGTGTTTGATTGTTTCTGTTTATGTGAAAAGATTGGCGTTTTGGGATGTTATTGAGGAATGATTGGTGGGTTAGTTTATACAATAGAATTGATATCAAATGTTTATTCGAAAGTCTATTTTCTTGAGGTTCTTTTGATAATTTAATAAATTTTGGCGCCAAAATATTCAAAATCCAATCGAGCATTGAATAATTCCTCACTAAATGTAATACAATATCCCTTTCGAATAGTAAATTCAATCCATTCCTCCTTTGTAAATTTGGAATTCTTTTTTCCAGTAACTGTTGGATCAAATTGATAAACCAGTTTAATTATTTCTGGATCATATTCTGCCTGTTTCAAATTTTGTACAGAGTTTTGGTTATTAGAAATAAACGAAAGCAAGAGTAAATCATAATTATGTTCCTGTAATGGCCCAACATGTTTAAATGCAGCTCCATTATTGTAAATTGCTTGTTTGCATATTTCCAAATCATTTCTCAATTCCTCAGAAGCATATTCTAAGGTACTTCCATCATTTTTGACAGCTTGCATGACAAGTAAATAATTGTTTTTCATTTCAGTAGTTAGAAATCTTAAAAAACGTGCATTTCTTTTGATTAATATTTCATTGTAATGAAAATCATTTCTATACTTGTCTGGTAGTAACATAAATAAACTAGTATCATGATTCTTAGCAAGTTCTAAAACTATCCAATCATTCAAACTATCGTTGAGTATCTTTCCACTTGAAACAATGTATTTGAGAATTATGTTTGAATCTTGTTGCAAATCTTGAGGGAGTTGGAAATAAATTTCACAGTTTTGCTTAATTCCCGCCAAGGCAATTTCCTTTTCTAGTTTAAATTGTGAATTTTCCCAAATTTCTAAAACTTTCTCTTTTGTATTCCAATATTTCAATTGATATAAATCCAAACTAATTTGATAATTCGATTCCAATCGATCCTTCACCTTTGGTGAGACGAATTCAAATGCTAAATGATTGTTTCGAATTGCTATGGAGGCAAGTTCAATATCTGAATGAAATTTAGTCTTTGGAGGAACAAATTTCAATATAGATCCATCCCTTTCAAGTGCCAATTTAACAATTTCTCTGTCAAATTTCAATTTTTCATCTATATATCGATAGAGAAGTGGTTGGTAAACCATTGCCTCCTTAACAATGTCTCTATTTGTTCGAAATTCTTCATTGAAATGATCCAAACAACAAAACTTGTAGCGTTCGAATATTTTCCGTAGTATTTTCACATCTTTCTTCAAATCATCATCCAAATAAAGAAACGACTGACTTCCTTGCGAGTCGAGCAATAAATTAAATAAATGGACATCATTTCTTGTGAATTCTAATTTTCCTGAATCTGCAATTCTATCAATGTCCGCACATTTCATTGGTATGTTTTTCAAAAATTCTCTTCCTCTCAAAATGATCATATTTCTAATAACTTGTTCATTTGCAATAATATATTCGAATATATTAGTTTCAAATCCAACTTCTTTTGCCAATTGTGCATGTAAATCAAGCAAGGTTTTACTACACTTGTAAGTTGGGAGATTGTCATGTAAAAATCGAGTGGCAATCGAAACTTCCTTTGCAAATTCAATCGGAAGGAAACCTTTCATTTCTGGAGGTATGTCATCTCTTCTTTTCAACCATAATATTTTCCCTTTTTGTTGATTTGTGAATTTTCTTTTCAAGAGTGAAAAATAATGATTATTCGAATCAAATTCCGAAATATCAATTAATTGAATGGTGACACTTTGTTTTGACATTTTTTTTTAATTTCCTTAAAAAGATTACAAAAGAAATTTCATTGTCGCCACGTTGCATGTGCACTTTCAAAACTGCACAATCAAATGGTTATGTTCCTTGCTTTCAACTGTGCAAAATTGTCTTGGAAAATTATGTAGGAGGTGTTTCTAAACAACGAGATTCTATTTTGGGAGCTATTTTATCCATTTAAATTTCTTTGTAAATATATTTTAATGGTTTGTTTACATCTAAATGGTCTAATCCAATAACTTGGATATATTAGATTTCGTCCGTTGGTTAATAATAATAAGTGATTTTAATTGTTTCATTTCACTTATTGACTTGACTCCTTCATCTCCAATTTGATTGTAGCATATATTAAGTGATGTTAATTGTTTCATTTCACTTATTGATTTGGCTCCTTCATCGCCAACTTGATTGTTATAAATATCAAGTGATGTTAATTGTTTCATTTCACTTATTGATTTGGCTCCTTCATCTCCAATTTGATTGCCAGCAATATTAAGTGATGTTAATTGTTTCATTTCAATTATAGATTTGGCTCCTTCATCGCCAACTTGATTGTTATAAATATCAAGTGATGTTAATTGTTTCATTTCACTTATTGATTTGGCTCCTTCATCACCAATTTGATTGTTATCAATATCAAGTGATGTTAATTGTTTCATTTCACTTATAGATTTGGTTCCTTCATCACCAATTTGATTGTAACGTATATTAAGTGATGTTAATTGTTTCATTTCACTTATTGACTTGACTCCTTCATCACCAATTCGATTTCTACCAATATCAAGTGATGTTAATTGTTTCGATTCACTTATTGATTTGGCTCCTGCTACACCAAGTTGATTGTTATTAATAATAAGTGATGTTAATTGTTTAATTTCACTTATTGACTTGGCTCCTTCATCACCAATTTGATTGTAACATATACTAAGTGATGTTAATTGTTTCATCTCGCTTATTGATTTGGCTCCTTCATCTCCAATTTGATTTCCACTAATATCAAGTGATGTTAATTGTTTCATTTCAATTATAGATTTGGCTCCTTCATCTCCAATTTGATTGTTATCAATATCAAGTGATTTTAATTGTTTAATTTCACTTATTGACTTGACTCCTTCATCTCCAATTTGATTGTAACATATACTAAGTGATGTTAATTGTTTCATTTCACTTATTGATTTGACTCCTTCATCTCCAATTTGATTGCCAGCAATATCAAGTGATGTTAATTGTTTCATTTCAATTATAGATTTGGCTCCTTCATCGCCAACTTGATTGTTATCAATATCAAGTGATGTTAATTGTTTCATCTCGCTTATTGATTTGGCTCCTTCATCTCCAATTCGATTTCCACTAATATCAAGTGATTTTAATTGTTTCATTTCAGTTATGAATTTGGCTTGTTCTATTGAGTCAAGCAACCTTCTAGAAAATTTAACATGAACAATACTATTCATAAATTGACTTTTCATGAATAATTCAATTCTTTTCTCTGTAAATTTTTTTTTAAATTGAATAACAAGTTTTGAACGTTCCTTGATCACATTAAAGAATTGTTTTGAAATCAAGGAACAATTATTCAAAATAAACCACGAATCATTGATCATCATGGAAATTATTTCAAAACAAACATCATCTGAAAATATTTCTTGAAAAGGTTTTTTCTTTTTTGCTTTCTCCGTGTTGTTGTCAGTATTATTATTATTATTGATCATGAATAGGTAGTCCTCCTCCTCCGAAATTGTTTGCTTTTCAAAATCTTGTCTGTTGCGTTTGCTCATTTTTTTTAAAGTTGTTCTTTTATTTAGATTTGATAAAGACTGAAAGAAAGGACACGAGAAAACCAATTAACAGATAAGGCATAGAAATTAAATGACTCAACGATCTATTAAGAGTCATATGTCAGGATTTAGTGTTGTGTGACCAATAAGACGAATAAGGACCTGTCGACTTTTAAAAGTAAGGAAAGAATTCTAGCTCAGTTCAACATCCTAATTCTACTGATATGTTAGAAAGGTGAGTTTTTAAAAACATTCAAAGGGTATGACCTACTTTTTAAGTTCATATTAAAGATTAATTGTAGACACGTTGTATAGATCTATTACTTTAACTTTGAAGTATCTTTCGAATAGTTTGTCCACGAGTACTTTAAATTTCTATTGTAAATAATATATTTTTAATGGTTTTGTTGACATCTAAATGGCTTAATCCAATAAATGTCCAAATATAATCTTCTTGCCTTGGATAAATTGTCCAAAACCTATTCGGATAAGTAACATGATTATAATCGAACCAAAAAGAAAGTGAAAAGCAAAGGTCAACCAACAAATCAGATTGAGCTTTGGTTAGATATCAACAAAAAAATTCCACAACATGAAAGCTACAACAGTTCTGACAGTTTTGACAGTTGTTGCGTTGACAGTTTTGTGTCATCTTGAGGCAAGTCGCGCGTTAGATATTCGCATGGATGTGAATGTGAATATTTCAGGGGGAAAGAAGCATGTTTCCATTACTCACAGACCTGAGACAAGAAAGCATGTGGACATGCAATTGGACGAAACTCCAAACTATTCGAAACCACAACAAACAGTCAGCAGAGAAATCGCAAACGAAAGTAGAGATGTAATCAAAACAGCCAAGAACATAATTTCCAAATCAGACGAAACTGTCATTGCAGAAAAGTATCTTCTATTTGCTTCAAAACTTCAAGAAATTTACAATCAACTTCCTGACAATGACAAGACAAGTAATTTGAAGAAATTGTTAGCTCAGTACATTCAATTATTTTCTAAAAGATCAGCTCATCCAGCTTCTGATATTTTGAAAGGTTCCTTGAAAGATATTGCAATGAATTCAGAAAATTCAAATTCTGCTTCTGGTCAATTGGGACCAAATGGTCCTGTTTCAATTGAGGAAACTAGTGGAGGCGCTGAAACCATGTTCAAGGGTCTTGGATCTATTATTTCTTCTCAAATTGGAAGAATCACAAATCAAATTATTGGACAAGTAAGTGGTCAAATCGGTGGTCAATTGGGACAAATGCTTGACGGAGGACAAACTGGTGGAGCTTCAACTTTCACTCCAGAAAAAATTAAAGAAATTATGGATAAATTTGGAAGTTATGCAGGTGGTGTGAATTTAATGGGAGTTCAATTGGGAGGTAATATTGCTGAAACATTGGAACGTTTGGGTTTTCCTCAATCCAGTCAAATTGCTTCCTTATTAGGAAAATCCATTACTAAATTCTCCCAAAGTAAATTGGCACCATTGGAAGCTACTGTGAAAAGCAGTGTCATGCCAAGAGTTGTTAAGAGTGCAACACCTATTACTGAATCAATTGGTTTGCTCACTGGAAGTATTAGTAAATCGAGTGCATTTAAGAAAGTTTCATTACCGCCAAAATATCAAGAAATGAAAGGAAGTTTGAAGAATGTAATCTCCCAATTGAGTAAGAAGATACGAAATGCTCCAAATGGATCTGTCAATAATACTAAACCAATGCGTGTTCCTGCTGGTAATAGAGGCAATAGAAATCGACCAAGTCAACCATCAATCATTAATGGTCCAAAACCAAGAAATAATGCTAGAGCACATAAACCATTAAGATTGAGCAATAATAGACCCTCTCCTTCACCAAGAAATACCAGAAAAACAACTGGAGCAGGTGCTGTCAATCATGTTAGACCAGTCACTCATGCAAGCAGACCTAGAGTCAGTAATCCAGCACCAAGAGCTGCCAGACCACCTCCAGTGGTTCATCGTGCTGCTGTTGTTCATAGAGCTGCAGCTCCTGTATCTGCTCGTAGAAGATAAATTTATCTCTTTTATTGCAAAACTATTTTAGTGACACTCAAAATTGAAATCCATTTGTTCTAGAAAGTGTTTGGACATTGATCTTGTAATTCTGATTTTTGTAGTTGTTTACCAGGATATAAGGGAGGGAATTGTTAAACATACAGCTGTGGTGGTATTTTATTTTTATTTATATTTATTCAAGATTTATGGAAAAAGATTAATTTTACAAGAATAGTTGAACAATTGAATAATTTAATGTGAAGAGCCATAACCAATATTTTCATTTCCAACAAAACCATAGGCCTTACCACTTCTAAACTTGGAAATACACATGCCAATAATTATAATAAATTGCATAATATTTAACAATATAATTGCCATCAAGTTTACAATACTAATCGATAGCAAGGAACCGATTGGAATTGTTCTACAAATATCAAATGTTTTCAAGGATGGAAATTCAACTTGTACACTTGGATTTTTGTAACCCTTTTCATTAAAAGCCCAAGTAACTGAATTTTCAGTAATTGTTGTAATACCTTCTATATATGGTAGAATTTGAAATTGTCTATAACCATGTAAATTGTTAACTTGATCTGTAAATTTAATGGCAATACTACTTGGGGATATCTCCACTGGACCAGTATAATTCAATTTTACCATATCATTCTATAATAATATTTTTAAATATTTTGTAAAGTATTTACAACTTACAATATTACCAACAATTAAGGGACCAGACATTTGATAACTCAATTGAATGCTTGCAGTGCCACCATATCTCCCAATTGGATCTTTCAAAGAAAATTGCAATTCAATAAATTCATCATTGTAAACAAGTGAAGTGTTCACAACATTATTATTATTGAATGATTGAACTTGGATGGAACGTTGAACAACTTCGACATTCCTATCATCATCTCTTTTAATAAATCTGGAAAATTGTGTAATTGGATTGGAACCAAAGTTTCGAATAGTGAAAGATTCGGCAATATTGACGAAACAATCGTCAGTAACAGTAACAGTAGAATAAAACGCATTTGTTGAATAGGAATAAAGTTGACACTGAACAATTTCACACGAGACGACCATAAAGATGATCATTACAACGCACACAATGAAGAGTTTCATTTTTTTTGTTTGAAAATTTCACTCTTTGCAACCATGGGCAGGTTTTTATTTCGCTTAAAATTGAAGGTTGAAATGGAAAGAGCGAATAATTTGGGCGAACTTTTGTCAAAAGAGCAGTTGACAAAGACTTTACAATAAGTTGTGGACAGCTCAAGACACTAAAAAAGAATTATCATTAAATGTTACTAAAGTTTCAATTAAATGAACTTTTTGATCGAAGTGAATCTTTTATCAAAATGAAATTTTATTTACATTTAGTGTACAACATTAGTTTTGTGGTGTTTCGAATAAAATGGTTAACCCCAAAATGAGAATGAAGTAAAGATACTTGTGGCAACCTCCTGTCCATCAAGATTGTTGTTACCACTTGTACTACTACTGAGTGTACTATTGCTACATGTATTTGAATGGTATGAATTATTCGAAAGTGCATCTGAATCTGTGGATTGATATCTAGCATAAACTTGTTGGAAAAATTCTTCTTGTGAAACGAATTTCTGATTCAAATGTTGGTGATGCTGCTGTTGATGATCAATATTTGATTGTGGATAATGTTGTTGTTCATGATCCAATTCGATATGTATCGAATAATGTTTAGGTAAACTAGTTTCTACTCGTTCTTGAATCATTTGCATTGGAATGGTGGTGGATGATGATGCAGGGGATGTATTTGGAGAATCTTGATTCATATTGCTGGATGTATATTGAGTGGTTTGTAGAGTATTATTTAAATGTGCAAAAGCATTATTCGAAAGTCCAAACATTCCATTCGAACTCCAAAAGGAGGAATTGGTATTAAAATCCTTCTCGTTATGATCTGTCAAAGTCACAGGTATCGAAAAATCGATTGGCATTCCCATCACATCATTACTTTCTTTCACTTTCGTATTGTGATTATTCTTCTTTCGTTTATTGGAAGTGTAATATTCTCTATTGAAATTGAACAAGGAGGATTGAAACATTTTTTTTTGAGTTTATTGTTTGTGGATGAAACATGTTAGCGGATTCATTTAAATATCCTCCAGCGTGCGTAATTTCTATCAATTTCCTCGTTGTAATTTATTTTACAGTCGCACACATTTCAAATAAGGAAAAATTATTGTTTGTGTGGAGTGCGTGTTTAAATTTATAATTGTGCGTCTGAAAATTTGAGCTTCCAAGGAGGAATTTGATGAGCTTCAAAGTTGATTTCGAAATTGAAAAGGCAGTCCTCATTCGAATTTCACAAATCTTGTTGATTTCCAATAAATTTCTGATACAATTCAGGTTCTTCTACTTTCAGATAATCTTCCAGTAAGGTTACACCATCTGCCATCACACTTGTTTGGAGAAAATTCTCAAATGCTGATCTTCCCATTTCTAGAGCAGCATTGAAACATAATTCCAAATATTTTGGAATTGGTTTGATGGGAATTTCATTATTGTGAATGTGTTTCTCGTTTTGTACATGTTTGGTGTGGTACCATAATCGACCTTGAAAGTGTTGAGCTACTCTTTCATGATATTCATTTTCGTAACTGGAACATCGTTCAATTCTATACGAATCATCGTTGAATTGACAACACATGAGTGCTTTGCATCCACAGGAGGAAAACTCAGAACATTGACAGTTATTTTCACAACAGGAACATGATGCTTGCATGACTCCATTTTGAAAATCTTGGTCAATTGTGATAAATTTGAATTCGTATCGATGTTCACGTGTCATGTATGCACACCAAATTTCCTCTGTCAAAGGAATTTCAAAAACTGAGCAGTGCATTTCAATTTCTTGTCTTGTTTCGTCTTGACTTTGTAATCGAATAATTTTTCTAATAGTTTCTTCTTCTAAATCTGATTGATGAACTGCAGCAACTGATGCAATTTTCCTCTTTTCCAAATCACCAAAATTTAAACTAGAAATTGCCACCAAATTGAAACATCTGACATAATTTTTTACAATTGCCTTTCTAAAGTTGATTAAATTAGGAAAAGTTCTTCTGGCTGATTTTTCAGAAAGTAAACTTCCAATTCCACATATTGTTATATGTTTAGGCCATTTAGAATTGAGATTAGTTTGAATTTTATCACAACAAGACTCTTCACTATTCGAATCATTCAACAATTCATATTCCTCCAATAAACCATCTAAAACCTTCTTACAATATTCCCTACACTGATCATTCATCGGAGGTGCTGGTATTGGTTTTGGTCTATTCTCTTGATCTTGAACAATTATCAATTGCTGATGATTACTATTCACAATTGGTTGTTGTTGCTCCTTCTCCTCTTCATTCCTACTATTCACCACTCCATTCTTATTATTAATATTATTAATATTATTAATATTATTATTTACACGATCACATTTACAACCACAACCACAACTAGATGTCTTTTCCGAAATCACATTTTCCTTTTTGTTAGATTTTCCACAACAACATTCTGATTTATGTATTTTTTGATGATTATCATCATTGGCTTTCTTCTCATGAGGTTGATGATGCTGATGAGGTTCAATATGCTGAAGAGAGGAAGAAGAAGAAGGAAGCGATTGGTGCGTGGACATTTTTTTTTGTTGAGAACTGAGTTGAGGATTCTCAAGTTCATTTGGAATTTCAAATGTGGAGTTTTAAGGAAACCAGTCAATGAATGTTTCTCTCTTCTTGGGAACAGAGGTGCTGTATGATTTGTTTAAGGATTTTTATTGGGGTTCTTAGTCATTCAACTGCTCATTCAGGAATCATCTCCTTCCACTTATAAGAACCATTTGAATCAAGGAAATGCATCCACAACCTCAATAATGAAGTCTGTCCAACGTTGTCCCATGGCCTTCTTTTGATCTCTGGAATCCTGGAGAGCTCGGCTTTCGGAATTGCGGACCCAACCTAATTTATCCAAGACGATTGTTCATCATCAATTTTTGAACCATTTTCATTAGAAAAAAATAAGCGCCACTTGTACCATACCTTCCCGTGCCCATCTTGTACCATAATTCATTCCTATCATTATTTATTTCTTTTCAATTTTTAAATTTTTAATATAATTTAACGGAACATGTCAGAAAAATCCTACCAAAAATGGATAATTTTATTGTTGCAATCCAGTCAAGCATTCATGGCTGCATTCTATCAAACCTACTTTACCTCCATTACAAGTTCAGTGTTGAAATATTATGACATGAGACAGGTTGAAGGTTGGAAAGTTTCAATGACAGCAACAATTTTCTTATTGTTGAATTTTCCAGCTAGTTTACTGTCTGCTTATTTGGTCAATCGGTGGGGATTGAGGAAAACTATTGTTTTTGGGTCAATCTTGTCGTAAGTAGTTGAAATTAGAAAGTGAACTAATTGAGAAGAATAGTTTTATTGGAGCTTGGATGAGATTTGCTGGATTTAGATCTGGAAATGAAATGTATTTCTGGATTGGATTTAGTGGATATGTTGTGGGAGCTGTTGCACCTCCTTTTATTGTAAGTATATTGGAATGGAAGGATAATTTAATCTTGTTTTATTCGAAATAGGTCAATACAATTACTCAACTTTCTAATACTTGGTTTCCAGCCCAACAGAGAACAATAGCCACCACTCTTTCATCTTTATTGAACGTTCTTGGCACTGGAGCAAGTTTTGGAATTTCGGCAGCTTTGGCAGGTGACGCCACTTACAATAATGATCTTGGAATGATTGGATTGCTATTATTACAAGCATTATTATCGAGTATCTTGTTGATTTTAGTTATTGCCTTCTTTAAAGATAAGAAAACTACAAATATTGAAACAAGTAATTCAGTTTCGAATGAAAAAGGTGAAATTGAGGAATCAACTCTGTTAATTCAAAAGCCAATGTCAACTGTTGAACAATTGAAATCTTTGGCAAAGAATATTCCTTTTTGGCTACTATTAATTTCTTTTAGTACTGGAATTGGATCATTAAATTGTTTCTTGACTGAATTGAATTCACTTGTCATGCCAAAAAATTATTTGGTGACAGATGTAGCCTATATGGGTGTTTCTGTAATCGCCTCTGGTGTTTTGGGTTGTTTTATGTAAGTACTTTTAAGTGTTTTAACTCATTTACTTATTCAATTATTAGATTTGGAACTATTGCTGAATGTACGAAATGGTTCAAGACAATTTTAACATTTTGTTCCCTTATTACAATGGGATGTTACGTGTGGTTCTCAATCAATTTGTTATCTGATCGATCAGAAGTAACATTCATTATGGCCATGTGTGCTGTGAATATTGTTGGGTTCTGCTCTGTTCCAACTCTTCCATTGATTTTGGAAACAGCTACTGAATTGACATTCCCAGTTGCTGAGTCATATAGCAGTGGATTAATGTTGGGAATCATGTCAATGACAAGTGCAATTTTCATCTTCATAGCAGAAGCACTCAAAACAACTCATACCAATCCTATTAATCACAAAACAAGAGTTGTTTCCATGCAAAACTCAATGTGGTTTTTGTTATCTTGTTATGCTCTCTCAGTTATTTGCTTACTTTTAGTCAAGCCAAACTATAAGAGAATGCAACACGAGAAGATGAAGAATGAAACTTCAATAAATTAACATAACTTATTGAAGTTGTACTGAATAATAGTGAGAATTTTCAATCAATTGATATCAATTATTTATTTAAAGTGAAAATCTAACATTTTGAAACATGGTATCAATATCACCAGAGCAGTGAATGAATGGCTTTTCCCAGAACTTGTATCTGCTATTTTTGACTAATTCAATGAAGGTAATCAACAAGCCCCATGGATGTGGTCTACTGGCAATCAAACGTTCAATGAGAACTCTGGTAATTTGTTCTTGGATGAATTCCTTATCAACAGTTTCAAGGAACAAGTTCAAAATTACACAACTAAAGAAGTGAGTATGAATGTTAGGATATCTCAATTGATTGGCAAGTGAGTTCAAAACCAAATAACGTCCCTCAGAGTCCAATTCGAAAATTAATTTACGAAGAATATCAGTGGCTGGAGTATTAATGACTGGATTACTTTGTTGTCTTGTAGCAATGATACCAGTGTAAATGACAATAGCATTAATAAGTGGGACATTGTAGGCTGTTCCTACTTCTTCAGCTTCTTGAGGAGAAAGCTTCAACTTGGCTGAAAGTTGATTCAAAATATTAACATCTCTGGTAAGAACAAAGCTATCCAAAATATCAGCATTCAAATCCTTGGTGAAGTAGGACATATAGTCACTGAGGATATTTGGAGGTTCATTAATTTCTGGAAGCAAATCAACCTTGAGATTTTGAGTGAATGGGTCTGGAAGCTTCATGTGACGAGGGAAGGCAGAGAGGATCAAGTTTCTCATTTGGATGCAAGTACTTGGAATAACATTGCAGAGAGAGAAGTGATAGTCACACAAGAATTCTGGGAAGTCGTGCAAGAGAACCAATAAAATCTTGAGTGATGCTCTATAGACGAGCTTGACTGGATTGCTCAAGGAAATGTTTCTCAAGTATGGTTCCAAGAACTTGAACAAGTGCATAACAAGAGCGTGGAATTTTGGCATACCCTTCTTGCCTACAGGTGACAGAAGTTTTGGCATAAAGTGTCTGTGAGCAATCAAATCTAACCAACCAAATACAAATCCAGGATAGGCAGATGGTTCCAATTCACTCAAGGCATCAGCAAAGGCACTCAATAATTCAACATTCAATTCAATAATTCTTTCATCAATTTGATAGTCAGCACTTTGGATAACAGGTTGTGGCAAGAATGTATTGATTTGAGTGAGAAGGTTGGACAATAATCTCAAGTAGATTCTTTGATTAAAGTTGGTTTGTTGGAGGTCATGATCTCTAATGATGAATTGCTTGATAGTTGTGAGAGTAATGTGGAATCTAGTAACAATCTTGGCACGATAACTTTCACCAAAGATCAAATTACCAATCAATTCAGAAAAGGCATCAGCAAACTTGAATTGTTGTTGACCTGGAACTGGAGTAATACACTTGTAATAGTATTCCAAAGTGATTTGGAGCATGTTCAAAATTAATTCTTCAAAGAACTTATCATTCTTTGAAATTTCCTTCAATTCAGCCAATAAAATTTCCTTATTTTCATTGATCAATTGGTAGAGAGATGCTGATGTGCTTCTCAAATCAATACCAAGGAATCCTGGATTAACTGGAGCATCAAACAAGTGAACCCAAGCCAAAAGCTTCTTGGTGAGTTGATCTCTCATCATGAATCTATCTTGGGATTCAAAATCTGAGGAAGCATTGAACATGATAGTCAAAGTATTTTCAGGTAAAGCAGTTGCAGTCTTCAAAGCTTGATCTAACATTAAAGCAATATGATTGCTTTCAGGAAGGTTCTTCAAATGATTTTGGATAAAGCTGCTACACTTTGGTAAGTCATTCAACATGATAGTACTCTTATGAGAGACGAGCTTTTGAATAAGGTGCAATAATAAAGAAAGGGTCAAGTTAGCACAAGATTGGTCGGCCAAGAGGGAAACCAATTCGTTATCTACACTTGGTAAATCTAACAAGTCTGCTCTAATCAATGCTGTTGTAATATCCTTTTCAAGCTTTTGTTGATTCTTCATTCCCTTCCAAAGATTGGTGACTTGTTGGATGGAGGATTCTGATTCCATATCTCTGATAATCATCATCAAGAGAACACAAGTCTCCTTGACAATAGGTAAATCATTTTCATAAAGCTTGTTGAACAAATCAGATACAAGCTCTTCAGCAGTTTCGCCACCTTGGACAGATTGGGTCAAGACGGATCTGAGCTTGGCAATGTTTGTGTAGAGTTCGCTTTGAGGAGGAATAAACAAGAGAGAAGGAACTTGCTTCTTAGCTTGGTTGATAAAATCGAAAATCTTGGCAAGTGTTACCTTTCCTTGATCAATAGCTACATTGATTGGTAACATATCTTCTCTTGGTTTTTCAGAGTGAATCTTTCTTTCAAAATCTTCATAAACTTGGAGATGATTTCTGTGGAGTCCATTCTTTGGAGCCAACAAGTCAGGAAGTCTTTGAATTGCTGGTGGCATGGTATAGTTGGTCCAAGGTCCAATAGCTCCATTTTGGTGTCCCTTTCTGAGTTCAATTTCGGATTGAAGTGTTTCAGCTACATCAATCATACTCTTGTCTCTGGCTGCCTGTTCAACATAGGCAGTACCAACATTAATATTATCATTACTGACAACATTAACAACTTGTTCGATCAATGTCTTGACCTTTTCAGTTGGATTAATACAGGCTGTTTCCAAAAGTCTCTTCAAATGACCTTGCAAACTAGACTTGAGTAAATCCTTGCATGATACCTTAGCAAGCTTGGCAGCGAGATTGGAAACCATCAAGTTGGCAGAACGAGCAAGTTTTTGATAATCTGGTTCGGCAATAAAGTCCTTAATGATCAATTCACCAGTTGTTCTACAAGAAATTGTAACTGCTCTCTTGACAACTGGAGCAATAATCTCACGAATTGTTTGATCAAGGGCAATAACAACAAGTTTTCTCAACTCTGGTTGATCCTTAAAGATGGTAAGACTGTCTGAAATCTTGACTTGGTCTTGTAAATCAGCAATTACCACACTGGCATCTGAAATCTTGAGAATGTTGAATAATTTTTCAGCCTTGTTGGTTGAAGTTGTGCCAGTAGTAGTAGGTACTGTAGTTGGAGCATTTGTAGTTGGTTGTTCAGCTCCTGTTTGAGCGTTAATATCTGGATTATTCTTCTTGACTTGAACCTTTCCTGCAAGAAGTTGTACACCCTTCTCCTTGTTTTGTTGTTCAACTTGTGAGAGTGTGAGCTTGAGAGTCTTGCACAACATTTCAACTTCAAACTTCAAGTTAAGCTTCAATTCAGGAATGGAGTGAATCTCAACTAGCAATGAAACAATACCCATGACCCAAGGATTTGGTGGTACAAAAACTTTAGACTTGGAACAATTGTTCAAAATCTTGCAAACAAATGGAATAACAGCAATGAGCCTTCCCTTTTCATAAGCATTGAACAAGAGAGTCTTAATGTCTAAATCCTTTTGTAAAACTGGTTTGTTCTTTGCTACAGTGTGTAAACCGAGCCAACTTCCCAAATTTTTGAGGAGTGATCTTTCTGACAAGCTAGTTGTAATTCTTTCAGAATCTAACAAGGCAGAAATGGCTTCATAAGTCTGTTTCAAGATACATTTATCCAATGATTCTATTTGGAGAGTAGCCAACATTTTGCTGTAAACAGCATGGAAGTTAGGTTCCAAACTTGCTCTATTAACAACAATATATCTAGAAAAGTATGGATAGAGGTTAGGTGCCAAGAGTTGTTTCAATTCTGCACACTTGTCCATATTGGTAAGAGAGAGATTGTTAATGACAAAGAAAATCTTATCTGCAGTGTCATTGTCAGGTTTTTCAATTTCTTGAGTGTTAGCATGATTAGTAAGAGTACTAATATCCAATTGGAATCCAATGCCTGGTGAGGCTCTATCTTTTTCTTCTTCCTTTTTAATCTTTGTTGGAGTTTGAGGATCTTCCTTGGTTGGTTGTTGTACTGGTGGAGGTGGAGAACTTGTCATTGAAATACCAGCTTGTGATGCAGAAACTGGTGGAGAAATTGGCATTTGAGAATAACCAGCATTGAGTGGAGAAGACATACCAGTATTTGGTTGTATCATTGGTTGTGGAGAAAGAGAGGTAGGAGGAAGTGTTGGAGATTGAATGGTCATTTGATCTGTTGGTAGCATTGAATCAACCATACTAAAGCCCTTTGCAGCATGTTGAGCCAAGTCTGGAATGTGAGTAAAAACTTGTGGTACCTTTGTTCTCAAGTGAGCACAGAATTGTGGCCACTCGGAAACTCTAGTCTTGAAGAGTGAGAGAGCAATAAGACCAAATTGGAACATTTTAACTTCTGTACTTGACAAGGCAGTCAAGACACAAATCAAGCCATACTTTAAAGTTTTAGCAACAATAATATTATGTTGAATAATGTAACCATATAATTTGGCCATTACTCCCAAAACATCATCAGGATACAAGTTAAAGAAACGATATTCATCAAATAAGTTGTGAATAACACAGGCAAACATTTCTTGGTCAGCCTTACTCTTTGAAAGTTTCAAATCTTTCAATTTTTCAATACCAGCTTCAACTGTAATCTCTGCACGGAACATGGAGAGGAAGAATTGATTGGTTTTTTGTTCAACTTCTGGTGAGAGTTGGAATTCTGATGATGAAATTTCCTTCTTAATACTATCATCAAGTGTTTGATAAACTTGGTAAGCTTGTTCAAGTACTTCATTAACAATGATAGATCTAGCCTTATCCAAACATTTGAAAATGATTTTAGCAGAATCAACAGTGAAAGAAGATTGTGAATTCTTTTCTTTCCATGATGTAATACCGTCTGTTAAATATGAAATTACCTCTTGAGCAAATTCACTAGTGTACCTCTCCAAGTTATTTAATAACCATAATTCCAAGTTGAGGTGATCTCTCTTTGATGCTAATACAGCAATTTCAATAGCAAAACGGAATGGTCTGGATTCAAGGATTGCATCAAGAATTTTCAACTCTTGAGCAATATCTAAAATTCTTCTCAATTGTGTTGCATCCTTTCTGTAAGAATCAGAGAGTGAAGCAATGAGAAGAGATTGATTTACTTCACACAACTTGTGAAGAACAGGGAAAGAATTTTTGTGTGGTTTGACAAAGATTGGTACAATTTGAGAGATGAATTCTTGTTGTAAGAAAGCATTGGTAGGTTTTGACTGTGCCAAAGCAAGTAAAAATTGTTCAGGACATTGTTTGATTGGTGCTTCAAAAACTTTTCTAATGGCAACAATATTTTCATTATCAGCCAAATTGATAAGAGTTTCTATCAAATCAATTGTACCCCAGGTTGTGTTTTGGTTTTTGTGTGAAGGAAGGAAGGAAATATCTACATGTCGAAGCTTGTCTGATGTAAAGTCGATAATATCAGGAGGTGCATCAAGGGCAAGAAGGATAAAAGATAATTGTGCTTCAGTATTGTTCCACTTTCTACAAACAAAAACATCGAGTGGGAGCTTTTCTCCTGTTAACTTTTTGTATAAGGTTACAACCATTGATAATCCTTTTTGATCTCTGAATTTAAAGTTTGGGTAATCTAAACAGGCTACTACTTGTTTCCAGTTCAAGTCCTTGTTCTTCATCACGGAAACAAAATTATCTAAATTCCATGATGATACATTTTCTTTAAAGTCATACTTTGCAATACCAATAGATTGCATAAATGATGGAATTTCTGTTCTTGCTTGTAATCCTGTATGATTCATTACCATCATACCAATTAATTCACCCACATCTTGCTCAGTCAAGTGAGGAAATTGTAATGTAAGTTTGTTGAATATATCCGTTGTAGACATGGTTGGATAGCCCAACTCTTTGATGAAGTTACCCAGACTAATGCTATCCGCCAGATTTGTTGTATTTATGTGAGTCTCGTTTCTTTTAGGAGCCATATTATTATTGTTATTATTTAGGTAGTTTTTAAAGTATTGTTGTTGTTGTAGAGAATTGTTTGGATGTTTAATCAAAATAACAATGATGTATTGTTGTTATGATGATGAAGGGAAGGTTGTATAGAGCGTGTTGTTTGGAAAATTTTTTTGTAATTTTTAAAAATAAAAAATTTTAGAGGTAGCACAAAGGAAGTAAAGGTAATAAAATGCCAGCACAGTGAAGAAAAGAATCATAGTCATCAATATTGTTGTTGATCAGCATCAAAATCACAACAACATTATAAAATTGAACAAGTAGTCAAGAAGTATAACACCATATGTTAACAACATGAAGCTAAATCAACTACTTACCTGAGAGAATTGATAGCTGTGGAGGATTTAATAATTTGTGGAAGAATACTAATAGAATGTTGACCAGAGGTATGGGCCATTGAAGGAGAGGAGACAATGTTGGCGGAGGAACCTCTGCTGCTACCATTATTGTTGGTGGTAGTAGTAATGATGGAGGAAGTATTTGGTGAAGGAATGGTTGCTCTCAAAAAGTAATCCTTCAAACGATCCAACTCATCCGAGCTGAAATTGTTGACATTAGTATTGACAAGGAAGAGGAATTTGTGGGCAAGATTTTCGGGAAGCAAGTTGACAAGACCTTCATCCAACATTTCCTGTAATTTTGTCTTGAGGAAGATGAAACCTGTTGTTCATTCGATGAAAATTATGAAATTGAAGTAATAATTATAATATTATAAATATAATATAATATTAACAATGCCAGTTTAGATGAACAAACTTACCTTCTTTTTGAACATTTGGTGAATGTGATTCAGCCAGGGCAATACCCAACAAGACCTGTTGTGAAAGAGGAAGGTTGAGTGTTCTGGAAAATTGTGAAATAAATTCCACTTTTAATCCATTCTCTGTTACACCTTCGGAGAAGGCTTTCAAGATGATGGAAGAAAAGTTTGTCTGGGTTGTTAATTTAGCAAACTCCTGACTAAGTAATTGAAGTTTTGGTTTGTCTTTTTGGGTAATGTTGTAGAAATTGAGTGATGTCAACAGAATGGTAAGAAAGGTTCTATAAGCTTCAAATCCATATTGTTTAAGAATCTGGTCAGTGATTTCAATTCCGCAATTAAATAAATTATTTGTGATTGATGTTGTTGATGATTAGAATAAAATAATAATTATTATTGAATTAGGTATTAATAATTATCGAATTATATTAAAGATGATCAATCCAAAATTATTCCAAATATTTATAAACAAACCTTTTCAATTTCCGAAACATTTCCACGATAATTATTCTTATCCAAAGTAATGACAAGATTTTTCAATTGAAGACCCACTCCACTACTAAAATCGTACAATGTTTGACTCAGTAATTTACTTGCAGATCCTCTTGGTGATTCCGATCTTGATGAAGAGGAAGTGGTGGCCACCATTTGAGGAGATGGTGTTGATGAAGAAGATGAGAGGGATTGCGTAGATGATGATTTATGCATTTTTATTTTCGAAAATAAAGTAATTTTCAATTCCAATCTTGATCACAGTCTTTACAACAATTATTATCATGACATTTAAATAGGAAAGTAAGAAATCGAGATTTTTGAGTAAACTTAACGTTGTAAAAATCCTAAATTATTAAGGTAGGGTCTACACTAAGAACAAAAAACTTACATCAAAGCCTTTCACCTGTTTGAATCTGTGTTCTGGTGCATCAGTGATTTGCAAAAACAAATATGTAGAGAACAAAACCATGCAATTCAGTGAGTCAGTGCTCAGTGAGTTAGTTACTCCAGTACTATCAAATCTTCCGATCATACCCTTACTGTCAATAGGATTCAAATGATACGGAATCGAAAAAGAAAGGCTCATCTCTGAGGTTCACACAACATGTTGTTGTCCAAATAACAATAACTTCAACAACACAACTGGAACCATCAAGCCTTGTTTGACCCTTCCGTGGATATTTCTTCTGTCTTCAAAATTACGTCACAAAAAAAGACCCCATTAGAAATGTCAGGTCTGCAGAGAAATAATAGGAACAATATCGTGTCCACAGATGATTCGTCATCATCACACAAGTATCTTTCTGCATCTGATAGCCATCATCGTAATAACATGGATACATGTAACCAGCAGTTTGAATTGAATGTTTCGGATGGTACATGTGCTTTACTTGGATCAGATACACTCGATGGAATCTCAACACATATCCTACATTCGAATATTCAAAATACTTCTGATATCCTTTCGTCATTTATTTCAAATTTTGATGTGACATCTGGAAGTGCATCTAACACATGTATGCAAACCACATCTACAGCCTTCCAACCAACATGTTATGACCAACAACATCCATTCTTTAGTATTGCTAAAGATCTGCCTGCCAATGGCATGTTTGCTCTTTCCTCGGACAAGTTCAAGATTATTTATCCTAGATTGCCTTTATTCATAATTACCATTCAAAATTGCAATGTCCTTCTCAAACTCTTAGAGGAAAACAACCAAATTTCTCTGAGTTGTCATATTGCTGCTTTTAAGGTGGATGGTAAATTTGATGTCATTACTTTCAATGAGGGGCCACTCAACCAAGACATGAGCTTTGAAGAGTTATTACAGAAACATGTAACATCACCTGTTCGAGAAGGAGGTGTTATCAACATTGAATTTCATCCAAGAGGTTCCATACTCCCCTCTGATATGGAGTTATCTATGTACTCACATTTTACTATTAACTTTCAACTGATTTGCAATTGCAATTCACTAATTGACCAAATATCACTTGCTCCCTTCAAGATTCCCAATGTTAGCATTTCAATGAAGGAAGATTTCTCTTCCTCCTCCAAATATATTATAGGCTCACTTGCTGGCCGTTCAGATTCCCTAATTAAAAAAGGCACTAAGAAACTACCCTCTCCAATTTCAGTCAAACTCTCTAAAAAATTGATGGACCAATGTTTCAATTCAGGCATGAAGGAATTGTATTTGAATGTGTATGTTAGAGGAGAAGATGGAATCTCATGTGATTCTTTCATGGAACATAACCATTCTGATCAGTACTGTTTGTTAAAACATAGTATTTTCAAACTCAGACCAGATATTTACACATACTCCATTGATGAAGAACTGGGAAAGTTGGAGAAGGGAGAGAAGAAACCTCAAAAATCAAAATTCAGATTGGGTATAGCATTGACAACCAAATTTATGGTGAAGAATAAGGACTTTTCTAAAAAGATTATCAAATTCAAAACATCAAACAATGGTAAATCTATTGTGGCATGGTCAGAAACTACACAATTCTCCTGTGCAACGAGACAAGAGATTTGCCTTAAAGGTTCAAAGAGAGGAAGAAACGAACTGGAAGGTTCTGATTGTGCGAGTGTTGTAACAAGCTCTATCGTGGATGAATCTCCACCTCCCACTCCTCAATCAAAAATAGGGTGGACTTGTTTCAATACTACAATTACACCAACTTCGACAACATACTCTTCATTTATTCATCCAACAGAGGCAAAGAAGACCAACAATGAAAAGAGTAATTTGATTCAATCTTTGGTGGAAATGAGAAATGAATTTTCCAAATATATGGAACAGCAAATATACCTTCAGAAGGAATTCGAAATCAAATCTCAAACATTGATCGACTTGTTGGAGAGAAGTGGAGCTGAATCCCCGTCTCAATCTATTCCTGTTCATTTCAGTGGTCTAGTTCCAAACCAAGGAGTTGAAGGAACATTTGTTTGTATTCAAACACCAAACAATAATCTTACCAGCTCAATGTCATTCAGTGTTTTGTTTAATGGAATTGAGCTTGCTTCAAGTGGAGGAGTAATCTCAACAAACGCAATCGGATTCAGAGTACCTCCAAAACCAATTTCAAATCAAGATAGTTATCTAGTCAGAGTAGTGTCAAGAAATGCTAGCACAGCAAGCATTACAGAAGAAGCTATTTTCGCCTTTAATTATTTATAATTCGAATTGTTTATGGTACAACAAAATTAAATGGAAAACTTTCTAGCCATAAAGTGACGAGTTTCACTTAATAATATTTGCTTCAAGTTTTCTGGAATATTGTGGAGAGGAGTTCTTCCAACATTGTCAATTATAGAAATATCTGAACCAAATCTCACTAACATTTTGGCAAGTTCAACATCTGGTTCCTGAGCCATCAGAACATAGTGAAGAGCAGTTCTTCCCAAAGTATCTTGACAATTGGTATAGAGTAATTCACTACTAATAGTTTGAGTACTGGAAGTGGACGGAGGTGATGAATTATCATCTTGAGCAATGTCCTTTCTCGATTTTTCCATTTCTTTCAAATCCCTTTCCAATAAGAGTGAAGCCACATCTTTCTGCGAATATTTACAGGCAAAGTGGAGTGGAGTCATCTTGTCATTGGTGAGTGCTTTCCAATCATCTCCAAACTTGTCCAACAAATCTTTACAAATTGCCTTACAACCCAACTCTGCAGCAATGTGAAGAATTGTTCTATTATTCTCGTCTGGAATCTTAAAATCAGCTCCCTTATCCAACAATAATTTGGCAATTTCAAATTGCTTTAAAAACATAGCATAGTAGAGTGGAGTCTTCTTGTGGTCATCTTGAGTATTAATGTCAATGTACGGATGTTCGATAAGATAATCCAACATTAATCGATCTCCTCTGATTGATGCAACGTGGAGTGGTGACTTTCCATCTTCTTCACTTTGACAATTAGGGTCAGCACCTTCCAAACTTGTCAATAGTAGAGATGCATAATTATCAGTATCGACTGCTTCCAATAAGCTTGCAGCCAATTCTAAACTTTCATCATCATCTCCTGGTTCTGGGAATTGAATTGAATTTCTTGCCAATTCCAAATGTTTCAAAGGTTGTTTCTTCTTCAATAGGATAGCTAACTGTTTTGCTCCTTCATTGGAAATGTTATTATCATTGAGTGTTAATTTTTCCAATTTGGAATGAGGAATACATTCACACACGACCAAAGCACCAGCATCTGAAACTTGATTATCATCAAAAATGATTGTTTTCAAACTTGGATTTGATTCAATGGCATGAGCAATATCTTCAAATCCTTGATCTGTAATAACATTACGAGACAAGTCCAATAGTGTCAGCTTTTTACAATCTTTCACCATTAAAGCAATAGCTGAAGCAGCTTCATCTGACAGATCATTATTTGACAGAATGAGTGATGTCAATCCTCTTAGTGAACTCTTCAATGAACCAAATGCCTTCATAAACAATGAATCAACCATCTTGAGTTCAGTCAACTCTAGTGTTTCCAAACTATTATTCCCACTCAATGCTCTTCCCAAAGTAATGTAATCACTCTCTTCAAAAACTGTACCCTTTGTCAAAAATTTACTAAACTTCCAATTATTCGATTCAATATCAAAATTCCATCTTTTTGCCAAAACTTGCAAATCCTTCTCTGCTTCCTTTTCCATACTTGTCAATCCATGTGTCTTTTGTCTGAAATATCTCAAAATGGATTGAAAAACATCATACCAAAAATCACGATCTTCACTTTTTGTAAATTCCAAATCAAGAGTTCGATCATCACCAACCAATGAAAAACACAACTCTTCTTTCACGTCTTTCTTTCGTTTAAATACAGGAGTATCGGTTCCTTTCTGCATTTTAACAAAAGACGAAAGTGGTTCGCTTGATTTTTTATCTTTTTCGTCTTTCCACATGACTTTGTCAACTGTGGAATTGACGTAGACTGTTCTTTGATGAGGACTACCATATCTTCCGTGTTTGAGACATGTGAAACCTGCCTTTAGTTTCTTTAGACAGGATTCAATTCGTTTCTGTTGAATTAATTCTTCGTAACCCATTGTGTTATTTATTCGAAAGGAGCTAAAATGGAAATATTTGCAAGAAAGTAAAGTAACGATGATAGTGTTGATTGTGTTTTTTTTTTCTTGAATTGATTGCCTTCTAGAATGGTGATTTAAAATTTAGAGCGAGAATAGCAAAATATCTAACAGACGTTTTAAGAGTTTAGTTTTGATATTTGCTTTTAACAAACGTGCAAGGTTTCTTGTTACTGCAATTTTTTGTGGTTAATTGTGTCAATTTATGCGTCTCTGCCTCTTCATCACTGATGATTTTGCCATTCGTCTGGTTTCGTATTTATTTCGTCTATCACAAACTCCTTCCAGCACAAACATTCCAAAGAGAAATTCTTTTTCTTTCCGTGTGATTATTTCCGAGAGGCCACAATTAATTTGATTTGGTGGTTAAGAATTTAAGGGCTGACGTCGCAAGTAAGTCAGTACTTTTAAAGAAATACGATTCGTAATTGAGTTCTGATGTTATTTACTCAATTGTGGGTTTCAAAGTAAGTTTCAGTTTGGTTGTATTGTTGTTTGTTGTATAATTGTGAATATTGAAGTTATTGGAAAGGATTAGAATGTGAAGACAGAATAATAAATAACTAACTAAATGGGAATTTTTAATAATTCTGTTGTAACCATGAGAGATTTTATTTGTCACTAAATACGACCCTGAACGAATCCTTTCTTTCCTAACTATCTCAGTATATAAGTTGTAACACAAAGAAAGAACCAAAAATAATCAACGAGTCAATTCAATCAATAAGAATTCTATTTTACCTTTTGATTCTTGAATGTTGGATTGGAATCACTCTTCACCAAGATGTAATTAACAACAAGTCATTTGTCAATATGGTTTCGATATAGTCCACAACTTTTCAATTTATTTAGAATGATAGATTGTCAAGGAATTTACAGTTGTTTACTTCTTTACCAAAAGTTTAATTGAGAAACAGAGTTTCAACTTTGTAATCTCGATAAAGAGTTAACTCTGATTTGTATTGTAACACAACAACCTAAAACTTCCTATTTGAAAAAGCTCAACAACATAATTATTTATTGTGTTCTCTCTTCATGTTGTGCAATTTCCATTATTTTCTGTTGCCGTTGAAAACAACGTGGCAAATCTATAAATATCTTTGAAATAGACGTTGTAGCGTAAATTTATGATTTTTTAAAAAGGCGGGAAATTCAGAGTTCAACCAGATAACAAAGTTAAAAAAAACAAAGCGAATTGCTACACTGCTAACAATTCATACTAATTTATAAATACTAATAATAATTAAGAATGTCGTCATCGGGAAATGTTGAAGAGGAAATTAGATATTCCTACAAGCGTAAGTTATAATACTATTTAATATTTATATAATATTTAATAATTTTGATCGGAATTGTTTAATAATCACGACCACGTGATGATATTTCGTTAATGTAATATAAAATAGTTATTGTGATTGGAGATTCAGGAGTTGGAAAATCATCATTGATTGTTCGAGCTGCTCATAACAAGTTTAATTTGAATACTAAACCAACAATTGGAGTTGATTTTGCTTCAAAGGAAATTCAAATTAAGGGAAATACTGTACATGCTCAAATTTGGGATACGTAAGTAAGAGTTTCAATTATTTAATATTTAATATATTTACAAAAATTGTAAAATACTTAAAGTGCTGGACAGGAAAAGTATCAAGCTGTAATGCCTGCAATGTATCGTGGAGCTCAAGGTTGTATGGTTGTCTTTGATATTACAAATAAGGAAAGTTTCGACAATGCTGGTAAATGGGCAAATCAATTAATCAAATATGGAGATCAAGAGTGTAAAAAGGTACTCGTAGGAAATAAGTGTGATTTGAATCATTTGAGACAAGTTTCAATTGAAGAAGCAACAGAATATGCCAAATCTATTGGAAGTGCTTATATGGAAACTTCAGCACTCAATGCACATAATGTTGAACTGGCATTTAATACGATTATGAACGAAATTCACTCAAAGACTCCTCCAAAAAATATTGTCAATCCTCCTGATATTGTTCCACCACAACCTAGACCAATTGATATTACAAAACCTCCTGTTACACCAGGAAATCAATGGAGTATTTGTAATTGTTAATAGACAGTGAAATATTACAAAAATGGTGGTATATTTCCACTTTAATTCGAGTTCAGCAATATCAATATATGTGTAAAATAAATCTAGTTCAATAATTAATTTCATTTTAACATCAAACTAATTCATTTTCTTCATATTTACATGGAAATTTAGAGAACTTTTCCTTGTGAGCACTTTTATTTGTTTATTCTTTTAATAGTTTCAATGTGTTCCACCTTTTGCTGATTACACTTATTTGTATAATCAATAATTTCTTGTCTCAATTGACTTCCCAATATTTCACTTTCTAATAATTGTTGTAATCTTTTTTCTGCTTGTTTAGTTAACATTTTCCCATCCATATTGCTTGGAAACTTTTTCAAATCAGATTTTAAAATTCCACCTCTAACCTTACTGAGCCATTCCAAGGTTTCTGATCTATCCATTTTTGTAAGTGGTTTTAATTGATCTTCAATTTTGTAATGTGCTAACTTTGGTTCTGAAATCACTTCTCTGAAAATTAATTTCCCATTTTCAGCATGATACGAATGATTTCCAATAGCACAAACATGTTTCAAAGTATTCATTGTATGCTCTGCATCACAAGCTTGTGGAGAAATTGTTGAAATTAGAATTGTTTGAGTTGGTTTTTCCAATGTTTCAAATCCATCTTTTAGAATTCTGGTGAGTTTACTAGCTCTGTAAGGAATTCTGACATTGGTTCCTTGTTTCTTGAGAACAAGTGCCCTCATGACATCTTTGAGAGCCATCAGAGAGGAATTGATCGCTGCTGATTCCTTCAATCTTTCTGAATTGTGATAGAAAGAATCGATATTTCTTTCTGAACCTGCCAAATCACAAAATGTCAATCTTGCAAATTCTGAATTGTCTTGATCCAGAATTGACAATCTACAAATGTAATGGGAACGTGAAGAGTTTGAATTGACTCTTGTTGCATGAGTTTCTCTCAAACTTCCCGCCAAATGATAATTTCGTTGCAACTCTGTACTGTCCTTAATATCAACCCAAACATTTTCACACAATACAAATTCTCCCTCTCCACCATCTCTCACCTCCACTTCCTTATGTTCATTCAATAAATCATAAACTGACTCACCAATTAGCTCGACATATGTCATGGTCACTCTCTTGGAAGAAGGTAATTGTGTAAACAAATCCTCAGAAAACAAGTTGATCATTCCACTCATTGTAAATGTTTTGCCACTTCCAGTTTGTCCAAAGCAAAAAACAGTTCCAAACTTTCCAATGAAAGAACATGATTATAAAGAATAGATTTGACTGAAGATTCGGACAAGTCGTGAGTTGTTGTCTCTTCATTGAAAACTTCCCAATGGAAGGGAAAAATTGACCGATTCAATATAAGAAAGTTCAGGTCTGAATAATGTATGAATCTTGCATTCATGAAAGAATAATTCCATCATTCTTGCATGTTACAACATCAAATTGTCTATTCGAAAACTCATTCTCAAACATAGGTCTCTTTCTAATGAAAACTTTAGCAATATTCTTCTCATTCTCTGAAGCCACAAAGGAGGAAGGCAAGGAACAATTCTCTTCAATCTTTAAATGATATTTCTTACGATAATATTCAATTAAGGGAATATATCGATCTTTATATTCCCTTCTGTAGGTTACCTTATCAATCATTTGTTTCCTAATGACGATCATTTTGTAATAAGAGTTTGAATTGAGCTGTGTATTGAGATGGTTTAAGGATTTTTTTTTGAAAATTTGTAAAAAATTGAAAATTTTGTGTTTTAAAAGAAAATTTCTTAATAACTTGGAACATCATAGTAAGGAACTTGGTACTCGTGATAGGAAATTCTACAATAGGAGTTACGGACTCTTTGACCTCCACTAGAGGCAAAGGAGGCTATCAATTTATACAACCTTACAAAAAGTGTGAACAATGCTTCCAAGTCTATAAAGATTAACACATGACAACTGTCATGAAATACCTATAATCTTCGTTCAACTGCAGTTGTAATGTAATGCATGGAATTTAGTATTGTCTTTTCCACTTGTTCTTCATCACCAATCGATGGATTTACCTCAACCAAATCCATTCCTACAAAATTAGAATATTCTCCACACTTTTTACAAATCATTATTCCATCTTGATGTGAAATTCCATTCTCCACTGCAGTTCCAGTGCTAGGTGTGAATTCTGGATCTATGCCATCCACGTCAAAACTCAAAAATAAAGGAAGTTGACTGTTTTTCAAATTCAAATGAGTAAAACATTCTTCCAAGCAATTACCAATTCCAAATTGATGAATTTGGCTTGCTGTGAAATGTTTGATATTGAATTTTTCCAAGATTCCATGTTCAAAATCATCAACATCTCGAAGACCAAGATAGGCTAACCGAGAAGAAACATCAAGACTAATCTCTTCATTCATCCATTCAAAACCAACAAGTGATTTTCTTTCTTGACCTAAAATTGATTCTCCACAGAGAAAAGCAAGTGGCATTCCATGCATGTTCTTACTCATTGAACCTATGTGAAATTATCATGTTTTACATATTCAATAGAATTCAGGAAGTATTCAAATTAATATCGTAAAAAGAGTTGAAAACAAACCTTTTGGTGTATTAATGTCTGCATGTGCATCCACCCACAATACTCTCAAATCTGGATATTGCTTCATCATTGCATAAATTGAACCAATGGCAACTGAATGATCTCCACCAATATTTACAATAAAAGGTTTCTTCTCACTCGTTGTGTTAAATAAATTATCAATTGTTTGAGCAATTTGTTGATTGAAAGAAGCAACCCTCCTCTGATTATGACAAATCTCCTCTTCCGCAACAATTGCTCTATTGCACAAAGCACTGTCTGGACTACTTGTTGTGCTACTACTATTCTCCTGATCGATTCTAATGATCGGCAAGTGATTTAATTGTTGTGTGTCAAGTAAATGAAAAGCTCCTCTCTCAACACCTTCTCTTCTCTGTCCCACGGAGCACCAACTCTCCAAAATAACAACACTTTGATTGACACTGTCCTCATCTTCGTATTGTTGATTCCTCACCATGTTACTAATAAGAGTCATTGTATGTGGATGCATTGAGCTCACCAATAATTTTGTTTTTTTGCACAAACCTCCACTCGCCACAAAGAGTAAATACCTTTCACTTATTAAGATTGTTGATTCTTCAAATAACAAACAGTGTTAAGCTTGCCAACATACACACCTATTGTGCGTTCCTTAGAAAATGTGTTGCTTGGTATTTTGCATCTTGGTGAACATTACGTTGCCTTATTTGAAGAGGAGCTCCTTCAGCGGAACTGAATTTACAATGCTAATATATTGATCCCCCTACTACAAATGCTGGTCTTCGCCACTGGAAAGGTAGGGACCTTAAAAACGACTGTTTCCCCTACACGCTGTGATAATAAGGTGTCTCTTAAATCCTTAAATTATTCACAACATTTGGTGAGAAAAAGCGCAACAATAGAATAGTTGAAAAGTTGTTTGAAAGGTTGTAATGGTTTGATTATGTTGGAAGTTATCCAATTAGAATCCGCAAAGGGAAATACCAGCAGATCTATTGAATCAATCATCAATTTGAATAGTGACATTTACATTCCATTAAAAAAAAATGCAACAACGCAACCATCACTCAACTCTCACAATTTTAATTTTTTTAATATTCATTGGCTTGACACTCTCCTGCCATGCATTTTCCTGTAATGTTGGATACGACAAATTAGGAAATTACTATGGCGCCACACAATCCTGTCCATCCGGATTTGTTTGTTACAGATATGACCTCAAAGATCCAAATATGGGAGAGAAAATATATGGATTTACACCAGAATCGAACTGTAATTCATGGAGGGCACAACCTGCTGCCTATCCAAATTTGGTTTGTTGTGCTAGTCAATTGTGTAATGATAAGAATGCAATTGGTGGAGCAACAAGTTTTGCAGTTGTGGATGGAAATGGAAATGGAACAAGAACAGGGATGGGAGTGAAAGATAGTGCACTCAGTAGAGAATTGGTTCAATTGGTAATTGTTGTGGCTTTGATTTTTACTTGTTTTGTACTTTAGTATTGTTATACTAAACAACAAAAGGTTTTATAAATTTTGAAAATTAATGACAAACAACAAAATATTCATCTTCTCTCAGGAGGAATAGGATGTTCAAGAATCTTTGTGTTCATTGCAAGTTCTACTAGTAGTTTCTTTCACACGTGTGTATTCGAATCTTTGGTAAACCAAATCAAAAAAAATGTTTACAAACCCAAACCGCAACCGCCTTTATGAAATTTCAACAAGTAGACTCAGAGAGGAACCAAAGACCGACTCTCTTCATTATGATTATGTGATGCAAGCTAGATCTTTATATTCTTATTGTGCACTTTCGAATATAAACCAGCCGAATGTGAAGGAAATTCGTTCGCATGAAACAGACTATGTGATGGCAATTCCTGATTTTTGGCATAATCAACATTCATCCATTCTTTTCTATTATCCATCAATGGATATATTTTCTGATCCTGTCAACAATTCGGGTTTTCTCTCACAAACAATTTCTTATACCAATACGAAACTCTTTGCTCCAAATGAAAGAATAATCAACAAGGAAATTAAATCACAGAAGAAAATAATATTGACCAATATGAAAATGTACATTGCTGAACAAAGTGATAAGAATTTGAGTGAAGGAGATGTCAATGGAGTGGAATTACCACAATTAATTGTTGGTGATCGAGTGAAATGTGTGAGAAGTAATACTTTAGCTGAGTTCTTTTTCTTGCTAACTGGTATGTGTGTGTTTTCGATTGTTCATTCTCATTTATGGAAATTGAATTCAACTTTTATGGAAATTGAATTGGATATTTAATAATTATTTGTTAAATTTCGAATTCATTTTAAATTTAAAAGAAATGGGAAAGGTCTATGTTTATGGAGAGAATTGTAGTGGAGTATTTGGATTAGGAACAGATGATGATATGAACCTTTCTAAATTTACATTGCACGGATTTTTGTCATCCCTTCCAAGTCCAGTTGTTGATATTGAAATGGGTTTCTTGTTTGTTGTCGTGAGATGTAAGAATGGTGATTGTTATGGAAGTGGATATAATAGCTATATCAATGTGGGTGTAGAAGGAAATAGAGGAGCTGATTTGACTCATTTTACACTTATTTCTAAATTGCAAGGTCGTGTGAAGAAACATGCTTGTGGAAGTTTTCATTCATTGTACTTGACTTTTGACAATGAATTGTATGGTTGTGGTTTAATGAAAGAGTAAGTAGTGACTAGTTGTGCTGATATTGATTTGTTATAATGATAGTGGTCAACTTGGAAAAGTGTGGGAAGATCAATATAATAATCCTGACTGTGTCAATTTGGTAAGAATTCAGTTTGAGAATGCGTCCCATTTCAAATCTATTTGTTGCTCTGGACGTTCCTCCTTTGCTCTTTCACGTAAGTTTTTTTTAACAATTAAGTTTACATTGAACTATTCCACTATTAGAAAATAATGAGCTATTGCATTTTGGAAGGAATGATAATGTGAAACATCATAGCATTCTCAGAAAGACTGAAGATCTCACATTCGTTCCACTACTCAATGCTCATGAATTAATTGGAGATTTTGGAAGAAAACCAGATGAAATAGTAGATTTAGCAGTAATGAAAGGGGATGATTTATATTGTGGAATGATCCTGTGTAGAGAAGGAATTCAAAAAGGAATAATTGAAATGGAAAATTGCTTACTGAGATTTGCTGTGCACAATGATGCGGTGACTTTGAGTGATGTCACTTTGTGTTTCGAATAATTTTCTTAGAATCTCCAAAATATATTATCTAACATAAATTCAAAGTGAAACTCAATCCATTCCTCTTTTGTAAAGTTGTAACTGTTTTTTCCTTCAATGTTGGAACAAATTAAAAAACCAGTTTAATTACTGTGAATTTTGGAAGTTTGTTCATTTAATAATAGATGATCTACTTGTAAACAATCAAATCACTATATCTAGACAAGTAACTATAACCTGTTTCCTCATCAATATTAATTCCATAAGCAAATGCCTTATCATTTGAATGTCTATCCTTGAAAGTATGGATCTGATTTAAATTTCTATCGAATACTATTATTTCAAACGAGTGATCTGTTACAAAAATTCTCTCACTTGATTTTTCATAGTATATTGAATACAGTCCTCTACTAGATTTGAAATTTGTAACTTTTTTCTTCAATACCCACTGATTGTCATCCTTTAACACAAGCTTTGCCAGAAAGTTGTATCCACAAACGAACATTTCATTATATTGGGAAAATGTAATGTGAGTTATTTTGGTCAATTTTGGTGTATTTTTCAAATCAATCAGAGCTCCTGTACTATAATCGAAACATTTCAAATGCTCTCCATTAATAGAAAAATCACAAACATAAATCAATTGATTCTGAATTGCAAATCCCCAAATATTCTTGAGCTTTGGGCTCTCCCAAATCAAACAGTCTGATAGCTGTTCTTTGTTCATTATCTTCTCTAAATTGTATCTTCTCAGTTTGTAATCTTGACAAGATAAGAATAGATCATATCTATTAATTGTAAAATATCGAATTGTTGTTGCAAATCGACACTCAAACACTTGTTTCCTAGTTTCCAAATCAAAAAAGAGCAATGATTTATCATTTCCCACCACCAACACATTATATTCTTTGCATATTTGAGAAAAGTAGATATGGTCACAACTTCCTATGGAAAGTTTATCAACTTGCTCGTAATTTAATGAAAATTTCTTACAAGCATACTTTAATTTTTCACCAAGCCTCCGATTCAAAATTAATGATGATTCTTCATCAGTATTATTATCATCACTGATTGTATTGCAATGTGGTTTGAAATCAATTAAAGAGAGAACAACATTATCGTGGTCATCATGTTTTTGCATTTTTTTGTATTTTTAAAATCAGATTTGTTCAATAACGGTTAATGGCGGTTGTGAGATAATAAAGTTGTAAAGTTCATTTGTATTATTACATGGTTTTTACGTTAGCTTTAAATATTAATTTCAAAGATTGCTAAATCCACTTATAATCAACAAATTACTTTTAGGATAAAGTTACTATTGATTAGGAGTGGTGGAAGATGAAATTGCAGTAGAGTTTCCCTCAAGAATATCCAATACCTTTTGTTTCAGTTCTTCGTATGTAATATTTGGTTTCTCAGTTGTTCCAGAATAAAATCCAAAAGTCTTGTGCATTCCTGGGTAGTAACCATCGAGATGGTAAACTCTCTCATCGGGTTGAGATGCAGAATTCATCTCCATGTGAAATTGATTGGTGAAAGTGTAACTGCCCATGGAAATTTTGCAGAGAATTGATTTTTCAGTGCTGACCTGGAATAGATATTTCAAAGCCATATCACCAATCAATTCAAAGAATTCGTACACAAATACAGTAACATTGGTATGGTTTTCATACGAATCGAGAGTGAATTGATCTCTACAAAATCTAATTTGATTTTCAAGTGATTTGTTTCTATACAATTTGTAGAGTTCTTGAATAGTTTCATCTCGTTCAGTTTTCTTTCCCAATTTCTCATAGGTCTGTACAATCTTTCCCTTCAATTGCAAATCAGGATCCAAACTCAATCCATCAGCAATTTCGAAAGATTCAAGAGCCTTCTCATAATTCTTCTCCAAAAACCATCTCATTCCCAAATTATAGAGTGTAGAGGTTACTTGCTTCTTGATAGCATCCTCTCTATCCAACTCGACATACTTTTTCAAACATTCCAAAGCCTTCTCATCCATCTTCTTTCTAATAAAAGCTCTCCCCAACTCGAACCAATAAAACCCAATATCCGACTTGATCTCAATTGCCTTCTCCAATGCAATTATATCATCATCCTCTCTTCCAGGAATAAAAACAGCTAGCATGCCTTTATAAAAGTAAGCCTTCGCATTCTGATCATTCTTCTGAATGGATTTTTCAATAAACATCATTGCCTTCTCATCATCCCTCTGTAACAAATATAAAACCTCACCCAAGGAACATAATAATTCGGATTGATCATGATTTTGCAATGGAGAGGATTCAATTCTCTCAGAAATATTGTCAATCTCATCATTGGAGCAATTTTCGGTTAAATTATTAATCAACTTGGAGATTGAAAGTTTTGGATCAGCAAGAGTGTTGTCAGTGGTGGTGGATTCAGGAGTTTGATCTTGTGACATTTTTTTTATGGAGTGAAATAGGAGGCAGAGCTGAGAAATTAGAAATTACGGAAGATTGTGGTATGAAGTTGGAAGGAGTTTACAATAAGTTCCGAAAGGAGTTTACAGTGTGGTGATACTGCGCCACTAGCTCATCAACAATAAGACGACAAAGGAGAAGTTTCTTTCCAATAATTTCCAATTAAGTCTTACTATTGGAAGAATGGTTTTGACATTCACTTCACATGAAGAAAATTAGCAGTCTCTGACCATTCAATATTAAGCTAACAATGATGAAATTTTTTATTGTTCTGAGAAAAGTGATGAGCGAAAGTTGATTGAAAAACAAGAAAAAATAACAAAGAAAATTTTCATCAAATACATGCACCTTGCTCGGTGATGATTTTCAAAGGCAATACTCCATCGTTGTTAAAGGCACTTACTGTGCAGTTAGATTGGATAGTTTGGAGTGTATAGAGATTGGTTTTTTAGTATTTCATCATTAATTACAAATTTTGGAAGGCAATTACTAATTTTATGGAAACTTTTGTCGAGTTGGAGAAGTAAAACCATAATTAATTGTTCATCATCAATACTATATAACAACTAAATTGGTGCGAATGGTTAAATTCAAGAATAACCTCATCGCGTTATTAATTTTTATATTTTCATCATGATCATCAACAACCAGAGCAATAAGACCATTATGGCCTTGTTCTAAACCATCAAGAGTATCACCCTGGAAAGTTTCAAAACTTTTCTTCGAGTACATACCTGCTGTAGAGCAAGGTAGTAAAAAGCTAAAATTCGCAAGAAACACTTTTGGAAAACTTGTTCAATTTCAAGAGGAGAGCAAAGATTTATTATTGTACCACATCAGGAAGGATGTTTTTGCAATGTTTTTCAACTTTTTTCCAGAGATTGAAAAGTTGAATTTTTACATGTTTTCCTAACATTAATTATTCATCATCTACTTGGTCATTCTTCATCAATACAACAATAAATACATTGATAGGATGTTGGCTAACACTAATGTTCATCTTGTAGTTTCACTTCAAAAGATGGCCAAGATAATCACTCAGCCTCACACCAACAACAATTTTCCATCAAATTTCCTTCAACTATTTTATCAGAGGTAAAGAACATATTTATTGTTGTTACAGACTATCAGTTTCAGATCTCGGAACGCATAGGAAGATCAACAGGAGCAGCATTTTGCATTGCCTTGTACTTTCTTTGTCTCACACAGAGGACAATCACTGCAACACTTATGGCCACTGCCACAAACAAAGTGGCCAAAAGTGAAAGTAATCCAAATAGATTATTATTGTTGGTTCTTGTTTGCTTTGGTGGTTTAATGACATGATTTCCTCCATCTCCACTTCCACTACCAACGGATATTGTTGGTTTTGGTTTGATTGGAATAGATTCTTCAGTAATGATTGTTCCATGGTTTTCATCCCTCAGTGCAAATATTGCAGTTCTGTAGAGGTAAATGGATGAGGTGGACGAAATGGAACGAGAGGAAACTGTTGTCAATCGACAACAACCAACATCCTTTTCAAAACTATTGGAAATGCTGTTGAAGCAAACACACGAAATATTATTTGATGATACTGTGGAATGTTTGATGAGGAGGGATCCTATTGGAGAGTTGGAAATAATTCCATTTGGTACTTCTGGTATGGAGACGGTCAATACTTTGGAAATAATCTTGTTCACAAGAGAACTTTGTGATTTGACAATTATTGTGAAAGAGGAAAGGGAAAGTTTTTGAGCAATATTTGAAGTTAATGATAATATAGTATTGTTAGAGTCTACAATTTCACTGGTAATTAATGAACTCTTAGCAGAGGCAGTGTTGATCTTTCTGGAATAGGTTGAAATTGAGTTTGAGGTAATTAATTTTCCTTTCATATCTGGTAAGGAACTCTTGACATAGGCCCTTGCCAAGTTTACATAGACATTTTCCAGAGCTATCAATTCCTTGGTTGATAAGCTTCTTTTTGTTTTAGACAAAACCTTGTCATATAACTTGTCAGTTGTAGATTTGATTGAATCCAAGTATTGCTCATCCAATGAATCAAACGAGTTTGCAGAAATAAGCTCAGTAAAACTTTCTAATTTTGAAATCAGAGCAGATGTAACCGAGTCTTGCAAATATGGTAAACAAGATGCACTATATGAATAGATAGAGATTGTGGAGAGGGCTTTTTCAGAATTGATATTTTCCAAATTGGCATTCTCTACGTAATTAGAAACCAAACTATTAGTAATGCCAATAACTTTTTCCGTCTTGTCACTAACTGTACTTATAACATTCAGGGCAGTGGATAGCACTGAAGGAGATGAAGTGGACGAGTTGATAGCATTAAGAGTTGAAATCATCGAGTCAGAAATGATATTTGGCTTTCTAACAATTGCATAACTTTCCTTATATGAATATACACCCATAGAATCATATACATGAACCTTAGTTCTAAGTGTAGAATAATTTCCATAACCAGGAGGTAATGAAACACTCAAAACATTAGACTCTGTTCTTTCAGAGAGAGGAATCCAAGTATTTGAATATTCATCCAGGTAGAAGAATTTGAAAGTGAGTGGTAAATTTGAATCTAACCATCCCTCTTGTACATCTAATGTGAATACAGTTTCAAGTGCACTTCCTTCTTGAGGAGTGATTGCAAAGCTTCCAACAGTAGGTGGTGAATTAACAATGAAATAGATTGTCGTCTTGGAATATCTGGATCCATCTTTGATATCTAAAGTAATGTTATGTTGAACACCTGTTACCAGATATGATTTAGGAATGATGAGATAACTTGCACTATTTCCACTGATAGGAAGGTCAGAAGTCCAAGTGTATTTTGGATTGGTTAACTTTTCACTTGTTCTAAAGCTAACTTTTAGATCATTGTTTGGATCAACATTATTCAAATCTTCAGTGTTAGACAATGATAATGTGGAAACAAATGCATTGTTTGGTAAGCTTGGACTTTGGACAGTAACAATAATGGTACTGATTGAGCTTCTTGATCCTTTGGTGAATATGGCTGTAAAGTTGTAAACACCTTCCTGAAGAATGGTTGAATAGGTTGGAGTTATTGGAGTTGAAATATCATTGCAACTTTCTCCTCCTTTTGAACATTTAATTTCCAAAGTTTCGTCAAAAACTATCTTGTCAATATTTGCCACAGATTCTTCCTTTGTATTCATTTCATACTTGTACACCAAATTGGAATAAGGGTAGCAATGTGGAAGAGTGATTGATGGCATGACATCAACTTCAGATCCAATAGAAACGTAAGTGATGTCATCCATGAATAATTTTGGTTGAACTTTCCTTATAGAAATAGTCTTGGATTGAGTGACTTGTTGGGTTCTTTCTGAAATACTCACACTAATGTTGTAAGAACCCGATCCCAACAATCCAGTTTCTATTGAAATAGAATCAGTACTAATTGATTGAAGTAATTGTTTCAGATATGAGTTTGATTCAGAGCTTCTCCAAATGAAATTAATAGTATACCTATTGTTTTTCACAATGGCATTGAATGTGATTTGATCACAAAAATCTGCCACTGATTTGCTAATAATAAGATCCATTTCTAATGGAATTTGGGGAATTGATGAATTTTCAGATGTATTGTTACTGGAATTCAATGAATCATTTGAATGCAGAGTGTTGTTTTCTACTTGAGTATTATTTGACCAGGTAGTATTTTCAGCATGAGTAGAGTTGTCAAGTGTAGAATTATTTTCTATGGTAGAATTGTTCCAAGGTAGAATTACTTAAAGTGGTATTATTTAGAGTTGAATTATAATCCAAGGTAGAATTATTTTCAAGTGTAGTTGAATTATATAGAGTTGAATTATTTAAAGTAGAGTTGTCAAGAGTGGTAGAATTATTCTCAAGTGTAGAGTTATTCTCAACAGTACTATTTCCAACAGTAGCATTACTTTGCATGGTATTATTATTGATATCACTTGAATTAGAAATTATAGTATTATTGCTAGCAGGATCTGTAGTATTGTTAAAAGTGGAATTTGAATCTGTGGTTGAATTATCAATGGTTGAATTTTGAACACTAGTTGTGGAATTATCCATAGTTGAATTGTTAATTGGAATTTCAAATTCGCAATAGGTTCCATTAAAACCTGGACTACAATGACATACTTCATTATCAGTACAATTACCATTTCCATTACAAGATTTCAAATCAGAGCTTTGAATTCCATCACAATATATTACTCCATCATCTACTGAAATTATTCTTGAACTCTTTACAACAATAACGGTGGTTGGTTCTGAACATGTGCATTGTACTAATTGATCATTTCCAACAATGAATGAGATGGAGCAAGTTACATTAGTGTCGAGCTGTTCTCCAATTTCATCCAGTGAGATACAGGAATAAGTGTACTCTGTGGAAGGAACTAATTTTCTAAGCTTGAAGTTGGTTTTTTGGAGCGTTTCAGAAAGTGGAATCTGATACACTATTGAGGTATCGGTATCATTCAAGTCAGCAATTGATTTCTGATTGTAGACTTTCAAAAATACGGCAGATTGTGAAATCATCGTGTTAGTATATTCAGGTCCACTGATATTACTAATCGTTTGATTAATACTACTCAAATCTTGGATTAAACCGAAAGTGTAGAATATGAACATTTGCTGATCATATTTGGTATCCATTGATTCGGCAAATTTCACTTGTAAATTTGGTTGTTTATCAGAGTAGACAATGGTGGTATTATCTAAACTCGAAGATAGTTCTCTCATTGAAAAGGAATCAGTAAATGTAACATTGGAGAATGATAATTTTTCTCCAATGTTATTAGTTCTCAATCTAATTTGGCTAATCTTTTTAAAGTATGAATCAATAATTGTTTTGTGTGCCACAGTTTTAAAAGAGGACTGATAAATACGTTCCAAAATGGTAACGCTTGATTGTGCAACTTCTTGTGAGATTGTCAACTCTGGATCAGATATTGCCTCATCCCATACAGATGCAAACAAATAAACACAACTCTCAAAAGTAGAGTTAGTCAAATAGTTCAAATCCGCCAAGAATGAATCAATACCAGAGACAGAGCTTGTAAGGATAGCTTCAGAAATTGGGTCAAAAGTACTGTTTCTTTCAAGTTGACTTTGAATGAAATCATCGAACAAGTTTTGCTTCATTGTTCTAATGGCTGCCAAGTCAGCTGCATTGTATTTACAATCATTTGTGTAGTACCCACTATTGCATACACAAGTTCCGTTTATCAATGTACCATGTCCATTGCATTCCAACGTTCTAAGTCTTCTACTTCCTATTGATCTAGTTAATTGAGCTGCTGGATCCATAACTTTCAGTATAGCCTTAACTGCTCTGCTTATATAGGCACTACTGAAAACATTTCTGCGACTATCACCTACAGGAAGTGACTCTCTCTTTCTTTTCCACAAGTCAACCAAATTTGACATGTCAGCGAGAGTTTCAGCCACTGGATTGTGTAGTTGTATTTTAAACTGTTTAGTTGTGCTTATATCAGTATTCAAGTCCGTTATCTTAATGAAAGCCTGAGCTTCATTACTCAAGAATAAATCAGGATCGCAACCTAGCGGGAAAGGAGTTTGGAATGAATTCCCTCCTTTTTTAATGTGACAGGACGATTACAATCCATAAAACCAAACGATATCTCTAAAGATTGTTCTTCATTTTGACAGTTAGGACATGTCATAGTAATCATGGTATCCATAGCAAACCCTGTCGTTGGAGTCACAATACAAGTACATGATGGAGCTCTATTCACTACCACTGTTGTAATATCCACATATTCTATATTATTATCAACAAATCTAAACTCAAAATTATATGTTTTCCCTTCTTCTGCAGTTGCACTAATACTCTCACATCGAGCCCGTTGTTCACCATCTAGATACCAATTCATATTGAAAGTTTTTCCCCAAGAATCATAAATTGCACATGCCACCTTTTTCTGTCCAATAGATACCTGATTTACAATGTCGATACGATCTCCTGGGCTTAGTTTTTTAGTTGGTCTGTAAATGTTTGTTAAAATTGGGGGAATTATATTTGGAGCATTAGAAAACTGAACTATAACTTGTGATTTGGCAACTCTAATTCCTTTTGAGTATTGGATTGAAATGTAAAATTTGGTGTTGGTGTTAACAAAAGTTTGGTTGAACATTGTTCTTTGGAATGATATCTCTGATTGTTGGGAATTCATTTTGGACAACATTGTGTCAACAGTATCACCACAAACATCACCATTTCCAGTCAAACATGAATATTTCCATTCCTCCTTCTCAGCTGGTACAGCATCAGGGTCTTCACTGGTTATACCAACAATGGCATCTCTATATGAAATACTTGTAATTTTTGCTTTCAAGGATAGTTCTCTTGGAAATGTCTTGATAGTGCAGGTTTCAGTAAAGGTCAGAGTTGGATCTTTCACAACTGTTCCTTGAACTGTTAATTTATAGGTATAATATCCTGCATCAGGAAATTTTAGTATAGCAACAGAGGTCCCTTTGATATCTGTAACAATTTTTAGTGGTCTTACTGCGTCTGATTGAGTTATACTCCATTTAAAACTAATGTCAGTATTGTTTGGTACACATGGTGGATAATAGATGGATACGCTTTGAAGGTTTTGGGTTGGTGGGGTTTGGGTGAGTTTTATACACTTTCATACAATAGAGTGATATTGAAATGTACCCTTTGATATTTCTGGATGGGTAGCATGATTTAGTGATGATTCCGACAATAAAAATCATGTATTGTTCATATAATTATCAAGATATTGTATAATTTATTAAATATAAAGTGGGTAATATTGAATATTCTTTGTAGGAGCGGAAGCACTTACTCTTGTCAGTTGGAGTCAGTACTGTATTAAGGTTCATTTAAGGAATCTTAAAAAAATACAATAACAACTCACCTACATCACACTACAATTTAGCAACCATCATTTTTAATGGCCTGCGAAAGGAGAGGCTGTGGAAAATGATGATTTTTCTTACAAAAAAAAAACCTATAAAATGTCTCGCAACATTACCCTCTGGCTACCAACAAACAAAACAAAAAACAATAACTAAACAATGAACACTCAATACAAGTATACTTCCACCACTGTCATTCAAGAAGGTACCATTGACGATGTGGCTATGATGGACGTTGACTCTTCATCAAACACTACACCTGTTAATGCCCAACTTGTACAACAACGTAAAGAAGAAACTTACTTTAAAGATATTATTATTGAACACGGCCTACCTAAAATCCAAGCACTCTCCCATGGTTATGGTGATCTTTGTGATGAAGAACAACAATTTGTAGTTAGATCCTTCCAATTATTTTCCAAGTGTGCTCGTGTGAAGGTTAATAGATTACTCAAACTAGGTGGCATTCATAAGAGAAACTACATTAGCTGTGGTTGTTTAGAAACTGAGGTTTTCCAAGTAATATTTGAAGCCATGGAAGGTGCTAAATTTTTCCATTCAGACAGAACCATCAATAGACATGGAATTAAATACAAGGTACCATGTTTTGGGTATAGATTTCAATCTATTCTTCCAATGTTAGACATTTTTGAAAACTGGGGACGTCAAGTAATTAGTTCAACCACACAAATGGAAGATGATACATACATTAGAACACTATATTTATTGGAAGTCAACAGTATTTCTTTTATTATGGATACGGAATCAAATGAAATAACAATGCATTTCAGCTACGACACAAAGATTAAATACGAAGATGAGGATGAATTTACATTTTTCTAGAAATTTGAATAATAAATAACAGTTTTTAAATGTAACGGTTTTCAAATTTTTAAAAGAAATGTCAGAAAGTGACTGGCATGATTGTTTATCATTGGATGAATCAATAGAAGATACACATTACCAACACCAAAATCATCAACAATACCATTCACAATACTCTCCATTCATTCATACCAACAATTATCCTCAAGCTTCACAGGACTATATAATACCACCATTTTCCACCGTCCCACTTTACAACTCACAAACATATTCATGTCATCACTCCTCTCAAAATTCATATCATCCAACCTTCTTTCAAAATTCATACAATTCACCAATCTATCCTAACTCATATTATCACTCCTCTCAAAATTCATGTCATTACTCCTCTCAAAATAATGGTAATATGAGTTATCCTAATCCACAAACATATTCATGTCATCATTCCTCCCAAAATTCATGTCATCATTCCTCCCAAAATAATGATGTTGAGATTTCTACAACTACAGAAGAACCCAAAAACCCAACAAAAGAACAACAATTCCTAAAAAGAATTGCAGAACAATACTCCAAATCCACTCAGATACCCAATGATGATGGAATTGGAAAGAAAGATAGGATAGTAATTGAGGAAAACGGATTAAAAAGATATTATATTGATATTTCAGAACATTTTGGATTTGTTAATCTTGATAATTCAATTGTCACAAACAAAATATCTTACAAATTCACCAATTATGAGGAAAATGTTTCTTCAAGTGCCAACCTTAAAAGAAAGAAGATTTTGAAACAAAAACTTGTTGGGCATGATTTAATTAGTAAGGCAGAGGGATTCCGAGATTTGTACTCCTTTTTGGGGCTTTTAAAAAGAAAGGGTTTGTTAGATAATAGACGTATGGAGGAAGAAGGATTAACCGCACCCATTCAACCTGAGACAAGAAAAAAACCTGAGAAAAAATTGTTTCAAAAAGAATATAATGAACTTAGCTCAATACAAGATAAACAGTGGGAAGCGAGTCAAAAGAGAAAAAGAGAAAAAGAATTGGCTCAACCAAAATCAAAAAAGGTAAAAAAAAAGAAAGTTCGAAAGCCTTCACACTCCAATAAGGTAACAGAAATAGCCTTAAAACAAACCTTAGTTAAAAATAGAAGACTGGTTTCTAAAGGCACAGTTGATGAATTCAGATTGGAAGGAAAAGTGAAAGATTTACTTCCCTCAGGAACCTTACAACAAACTCAATCGACAACAGATGTATTGTGTGCAGATATATTTAACGTGAAACTTAAATCAATTGGAGAAAATAGAAACATCATATACCATTCCATTCTTCCTACCGTATGTTGTTATGTATTAAAAGTGGATTGGTTGGATGAAGAAGAAGAAACGATCATTGTGTAAGGAAGATGACATGAACTTTAAAGATTTAATAGTTGCCCTAAATCTTGATTATGCTGCAAATTCTAAATTAACAACATTAACCATTACTGTTATTAACAGTAAGTGTTTTGGGTTGGGTCATTCTCGGGTTGTGTGTGTTCCTTTGGCTGCCTGGAAGGGAGACGAATCAGAATTGACACATATTGCTGATCATTTCAAGAATGAAATTGAAATAATCAGAAAACATGGTATTTCCATTGATTCGTATCATTGTAGTATTGATGTATTCTTGACAATGGATTTAAAGGCCTTGGGTGTTGTTTGTCCTGGAGTGAAACAAGATTCATGGTGTCCATTTTGCAACATTTCTTTTCCAATCTGTTGTAAAAACCACAAGCCAAGAACAAATTTAAATCTTGGTTGTATCCTTGGATTACCTGCATCCAACATTATAATATGTATCCTTCATGCAAAAGAACGGCTTTGTGAAATGTTTTAAGAATAACTTTATGTGGTGTTAGGAAGAAGGAAGAATTTTGGGAGTGTGTTTGTGGTATCAAAGGTCTTGAAGATTTGAACAAAGTTGAAGATGAGGAATGGAATGAAGTGAGAGTCTTTCTTCTAGGCAACACAGGTAATATTCTTCTTGACAACAGTAATACATTGTCTCCTCATTTCGAAAATGAGAAGACAAAGGTTTTATGGGAGTCATTACGCGACTTCCTACATAATATTGATTATGACAAACCAAATAATCAAATTCTTGACTCAGGTAACAAATTTTGGGCTGTTTATGTTGCAGCTGTTCATGGGTTTCCAGGTAAATCATGGTATGCTCACATATTGGTGAAACATATTGTTTCCTTGCGAGAAAGAGTTGGTCATGTTAAAGTATTTGAAACTCAAGCATTCGAAAGTAGTCATGTTGATGAAGCAGACACCATTATAAAGGGTTCCAGCAAGGGTGGTGGACATACACATACTTTCTATAATTCACTTCTCTCCAACACCAGAGACTACACAGAGCACTTTAAAGTTAGTGGCTTCAAATTTGTGAAAGAGCTTGGTGATGATATTGAAGATAATAAGAATTTATTGTTGAATATCTTTGCTGTCTCTCCCATTGAAGGTCCTAGGTCGACAATAGAAATAGGACAAGAAGATAAGTTATTGGCTCAAGTATTGTTCCGTAAACTTAGAATATTATTTCTCTCAACGGTAATACCAGATACCTTTATGTATTGTCAACCACAAAGGTTGAGCAACAAGAAGAAGAAGGAGTATGAAAAGGATTATTCTGTGCGGGTGAACAATAATGAAGTCATTTTGAGACAATTATGTGAAAGAGAGAAATATGATAGAATATTTGAAGAACATCAATGCTCACTCCAGACCACCACAGTACCTTTAGACCATCAGGACTATCAAATTTGGATGACTGATAGAGCACAACAAATACCAAAGGGAAATCTGTTGAAGAAAGCTTGG